CCTTGCGTGTTGGGGTCGAGTGCATCACCGCGCCGCGGGGTGTGCGCGTGGGTGATGTAGGCGCCACCGTCGCCTCGGCTTGTTCACCTGTGGCTTCACCGTTCCTTTCAGCACCGCTGTTTTGGTCAGTGCGCTTGCCCACCTCGCCATCGCCGCCACCGGCTTTGCCGCCATCCGCTGCTGTGCGCTGCAGGGTGAGCTCACTGTGTTCGTCCAGAGGCAGATCGGCGTCTTCGTATCCGCTCACGCTTCGCACCCTGTGCTGCAACCGTTGCTCCAGCTCCAGCCCGTCCACGTCACGCAAGAACCAGAACAAGCCTTCTCCTCCACCTCCACCTCCAGCAGCAGCGCGAACGCGGGGCTGGCTGTTGGACTGGGCCTCACGCACCCTTTCTGTGCTTCGTGGGGAATCGTTCGCCGCACCGCGGCTGTCTCCACTGCCGCTGGTGCCACCGCTGCTGCCCCAGCTCCGCATGCTCGTCCCATCGTCAGCCATGATGATGTGCCCGTGGCTGGTGTGCTGGGCTGGCTTGGCTGGCTGGTGTGCTGGGTTGTTGTGTTGGAGGAAGGTGTCAGTCGATCTGAGTTGTGTCTTTCTGGGTGTCGCCTGTCGTAAGCGGCGCCAAAAAACCAAAACATGCAGCAAGAAAAAAAATTCGGCTGGCGGGAAATTTTGAATTTTCCTTCCTCACACCAGTGCAAACACACTCACACACACACCACACTCTCACTCGCATCCACACACGCTCTCTCCCGAACACACACACATCCACCATCCCACATCCCACATCACACACACACACACACATATATACACACACACTCTCTCTCTCTCAAGCAATGTCGTTTGCAATGGCTGGCCGCTTCGGCCCAGAAGACCATCAGGAGCACCATCATCAGGAGCACCATCATCAGGAGCACCAACAGCAACTGCCTCCGTCGTGCCCCCACCACCACCACCACCACGTCTGCCAACGGCATTCTCCTTCGCCGACACCGGCACAACCGACAGCAAGCACAACGATGAGCACAAAGGCCAAGAAGCAGCACAAGTACAAGCACAGGCTCCAAATTCAGCAGCAGCAGCAGCAACGGCAACAACCCACACCATCGCACCACCTGGAGGCGTCCAGCAACTGCAGCAGCGACAGTGGGGCTCGCGTTTCGTGGGTGGGCCAGCACAGCCCACTTCCAGAAGTGCAGACGCATCTGGTCGTTCCCGAGCAAGCTCGCGTCGTCTTCCACACAGACGGTACGCAACAAGGGCAGCAACAGCCCCAGCACCATCGCCACCACATCTGCACGAAAGGACACAGCTGCGCCAACGCATCCGGCATGATGCCAAACGGCCAGCTCGAGCGCGAGTACATCGAGAACCTGCGCGTGCAGGTGCACTACCTGGAGCACGAAGTCGGCTACCTGCGGGACGAGCTTGGCAAGTCGAACCAGGAGATTGCGGCAGAGGCGCGAAAGGACCTGGAAGAAAAGCTCCAACAGACCCGGCAACGCTTCCGGCACAAGTGGCAGCAGCAACAGCAGCTGCTAAAGGAAGCAGAGGAGAAGTACGAGGCGCTGTTCCGATCAAAGGAGCGCGGCGAACAGACCCTGCGCGCCGCACTCACACAGCGCGAGGACGAGAAGCGCTCGCTCATCAGCAAAGTGCAGCAGCTGCACAAGGACGTGGAGGTGCTGGAGGAGGCCTGCAGCGACAAGGACGCCCACCTGCAGCGGCAAAAGGACGACATCCACACCAAGATCACAGAGCTCGCCGAGCGCGACCGCCGCCTGCGACAGCTTGAAACGCGCGTGCGCGATGCGCAGCGCATGTACGAGCAGGCCAAGGCCGTTGGCGAGGAGCGCGAGATTGAGATTGTCGAGCTCAAGGGCAACATCGAAGACCTGCAGGCACAGCTGCGAGGCGGTGCCGACGCAAGCACGGACGACGAGGGAAAACCCGGCAGCGGCAACAATGGTGATGGCGAGAGCGATGGTGATGGTGATGGCGGCAGCAGCAGCAACAGCAACAACAGCAACGAGGGTGGCAGAGGGTCTGCCCACAAGCAAGAGATGCGCACGCTTCGCGCCAAGTTGAAGCAGACGGAGCTGAGCCTGCAGGAGAGCAGGGCACTGGAACGCCGCCTGCGTGATGACGTGGACGCACTTGTGCACGAGAATGCGCAGCTGGCAAACAGAATAACAGAGCTGGAGGCCGACTGTAACACCAAGCAGCGCCAACTTCTGCAAGAGCGTGAGCACGGCCGCGCACTCGGTGAAGAGCTGCGGCAGATCCAGCTGCAAGGTCGACAGGCACGGACCAAGTCGCAGTCGCTCGAGGCAGACATGAGCAGCCTGCAGGACGAGTGCCGGCGCATGGAGATGATTCTCAAGAACAAACAGGTTGAGTCTGCCACCCTCGACCAGGACAACTACGAACTTCGCGAGGGACTCGCCCACCTTCGTGGCGCCCTTGAGGTACGACGGTATCTGTCTGTCTGTGTATCTGTGTTTGTGTGTGTATGTGTCTGTGTGCGTCTGTGTCTGTATTTGTATTTGTGTGTGTGTGTCTCTGTCTGTATTTGTATTTGTGTGTGTGTGTGCCTGTGTCTGTGTTTATCTGTGTGCTTGCTCCTGTGTATTTGTTTGTTTGTTCGCGTATCTTTGCTCTTGTGTTTGCGCTGGTGTCGTGTGCGCTTTCCCAAGCCTATAACTCACATCTTGTCACATTCATTTTTGAACACTGCTCGCCCATTGTAGCGAGAGCGGCAGGAGAACATTCAGCTCAAACAGGAGAAGGTGCTGCTGACGGACCACCTCCGAGAGCTTCAACTCGCAATGGTGCGTGGAGTAGAGACGGTCTTGGGGAAAGGGAAATGCGTCACGGTGACGTGGTGTTGCGTGCAACACCTTCTTGCATGAAAGAGGCAGAAACTTGTTCTCTGTTCGTCGCATCTGCTGTGCTGCACGTTGCTGCGTGTGCGCTGACAACAACATGCGGGATTTGCACCTGCCCTTGCTCATCTCTGCTCTCCTGCACGTGTCACACACAGGAGTCCAACGCAAGAGAATTTGAGACGGCGTTGCACGAACGAGACATTCTCAGCAGCCGAGTCAGAGGTGCGATGTGACACGGCGTGGAACTGCCCGCTCGTTCTCTAATGCCTTGCGCCCCCTCCATATGGCTGTCTGCACTATTGAATTGCTTGTGCTCACCATGTCATGTCACCTACTTGCGTTTTGCTGTTGATGCTGTTTCTGCGTGCCACGTTTCGCAGAGCAATCGCGCACAATTTCGTTCATGAAGCGCATGCAGAACATCCGGTGGTCTGACCTGGAGGAGATGGCGATGACAGTGAAGGTGAGCCAGCAACACACATGGCTTGGCTCGCGTGTGACGGTACCTGTTGTTGTAACTTGCTCAGCTGTTGCCGTTGCTCGCTCAGCTGTTGCCGTTGCCTGCTTAAGTGTTGCTGTTGCTCGCTTAGTAGTTGCTGTTGCTCGCTTAGTAGTTGCTGTTTCGCCTGTTTCAGCTGTTTGAAGCCAATTGCTCATCGCCTCTGTTTCTTTGTTGCTGCAGGAGTTTACACGTCAGATGGGCACACAAGAGCGGGAAACAAGTGCCTTGTACGAAGAATGACGATGACGTGCGATTGGAGAAGCATGTGTGTGTGTGGTTGTGTATGTGTATGTGTGTGTGTGTGTGTGTGTGTGTGCGTGCGTGTGCGTGATGTGTACATAGTTGCGTGTGTCTCTCTGCTTGCGGCTGTCGTGTGAATATGTTCCGTGTGCGTAACATGTAACTGAATGTGGGACGCTTCTTGTCTGTGTGTGTGTGTGTGTGTGCGTGTGTACATGTACGGGTGTGCGTGGAGGTTTTACTGTGGATAGTAAGAGTGCGTGTTTATGAAGCGAGCGTAGAGTTACATTCTTCCAGACCTCGCCAATACAACCGTAATAGCTGAGCACGTGCACGCGTTGGAATGGGGATGGAATGGGGAGGGACAAGTGACGTGGCGGTAATGTGCACGAGTGCTTTCATTGCTTGATGCTTCACAATGGATGATGCCAGCGCTGGCGCCGCTGCTTCTGTCCAGGGGGATCACCCTTGTTATGCGTGTGTGTGTGTGTGTGTGTGTGTGTGTGTGTGTGTGTGTGTGTGTGTGTGTGTGTGTATGTGTGAGCTGGCGTGCTGTCAGCTTGTTTAGAGGGAGGGAAACGGGGCATGCAGAACGTGCAGGTACAAGGTGACCAAGACCAAGACACAAAGACAAGGTAGAACTCGCAGCAGCCAAGCGCATTTCAGGGTACACCACAGTTTCATTGTTGACCAACCTGCTGTATTAGCCCCGGTTTTGCCAAGTGGTGGGTTGTGACAAAGCCTGACACGCTGCTTGTGGTGCTGCTGCGCATTTCGTGAGGCTGAGCAATTGGTCGCTGCTGTGAGTGGCGTGGCACTGGCGTCTTCTGTGTGGCTTCTAGAGCAACCGCTTTGCGCCGCAAATCGTCATACAGCATCTGCAGGCGATTGTGCTGCAAACAGGGGCAGACACAGAGAGAAGGAAAGGTGAGAGTTACGCTGGGGGCTTGGGCAGCGAAGAAACAGCTTGACAAACACACACGCACACGCACGCACACACACGCACGCACACACACACACGAATGCTCATCATCATCATCATCATCATCATCATCATCATCATCATCATCATCTTCATCATCTTCATCATCATCTTCATCATCATCATCATCTCTGACCTGGCGCGATTTCTCTGCAAAGGCTTGGCGGGCACTCTGCAACTCTGAAACGGTTCGGTGAAGCTCCTCCTTGGCAGCTTGCAGTTGGGTGTGCAGCCTGTCCATTTCAGACTGCCCGTGCACTGCAAGCTTCTGCAACTTGGCTTCCAGTGCAGAGGTCTTGGTCTTCAACTCTTGGCGCATGAGGTGCTGATTCAGCATAGCATAACGGTTGTGGGATCAATGGCAACGCTGGCAAGTTGCCTGAACAAAACGCAGGCATCTTACACTCACCAGAGCAAGCACACACACACGCATACACGCATACACGCACACACGCACACACGCACACGTACATGTACACTCACGCACCAAGTAGAGTTGCATGCACACAATGCAGCCAGTCCAGTCACTTTGCATCACGTACCGTTTGCAGCGACATCTGGTATGTGTGAAAGGATAGGGCGCGGCCAGCAATCTCGATGATGAGCGCTGGTGACAGCCCGGCCAGGATCATGCTGCGGTGTTGCTCGCTTGGGTTTGGGTCAAAGTTGACGAGATCATGCTTCTCGATGAGTGGGGTCTTGCACACGGGACACAGCACAGGCTCCATCGAGGCCTTGGCAGCCTCCATGGCAGCTTGCCCGCAGGCATCGCAAAGCAAGTGCGAGCAGCGCGTCGCCCATTGTCGAGGGCCCAAATCCGCACCTCGGCACTGGTGCAACGACGTGGTCGTGCAATCACCATATAACACAACATCCAACAAGCCGATCCAGCAACCATAAGAAGCAAAGGAGTTGAGAACAACGAGCCAGGACCATTTATCACTGATGCAAGCAGAGCACACACAACAGCTAAGAACACGATGGTCGCAGCGCTCCCATACCTTGTTGCAGTGGAAGTCTGCCATGCCTCAGTACCGAGACGGTGCGTGCCTCGCTAGTTAGCAGAGGAACTGCACTACCGAAGCAGTCCAATGCCACACTCGAGAAGGTGAAAAGACGAGAAGACGAGAGACAAAAGGTTTGCGTTCAAAAACTGGTGAGTTTGGCGGGAAAATGCAATCAGCGTGCTATGACAGCGTGATTGGCAGGGGGTTTGTACAGAATTGCAGTTTGCTCTCATGTCGCTTCGTTGACTGTTCTTTGGTTTGTGAGTTGGCTGAGTGTGCTCGCTTTGGCTAGGTCGCCTGCTTTCTGTTACTCTTTCGTTTATGACGCATAGATACTGACTGACCAATGCAAGAGAGGAGACAGGAGCATTCCGCAACCAGGGCCAAGAATTGAATGTGTGTGTGAGAGACACGGTACAACATTACTTCTCAGGTCGTCCCTTGAGCCGCCCTATGGGTCTTTGCAACCTGCTCTTCCTTCCGTTTTCACTTCACTCGTGCCGTCCTGCCACGATCCGTGTTGCTCTCTGCTCGCAAGTTCGACACGCCGAATCAGTTCTTCGCACTTGCGGCAGTACACATTGTTGTCGCCCAGTTGATCTGCGAGCGGACATCACGACAACACATCCAAATAGATGTGTTTGTTTTGTTTGTATGTTTGTGCGTGCGTGTGCGTGTGTGTGTGCGTGAGATTGGGCATGTGCAGACAAGTGGGGGTAACATATGCCGAGACATTATGAACATTGTGATACAGGTCAAGTGGCACGCTATGGGAGCAAAATGAACACGAGTGAGCAAGAGATTGAAGGGTGAGACCGTGACATAACAAGAGGCAAGCCATTGTGGAGCTGCTGAAGACGAACAAGCAAGGAAACAAGCACACTGTTGTCGTTTGAATGACGTACCGGTAGCCAATGACGAGCGCACCCATTTCTGACACCGCGCGCATTCATAGCAATTCAAAGCACACTCTGTGTGCAAGGTCTGTGACAGAACAAATGCACGAGCACACGTGCGTGCGTGTGAGTGCGAGTGGGTGCGCGTGTGTGCGAGTGTGCGAGTGTGTGTGTGCGTGTATGCGTGAGTACCTTGGAGGAGTGGTTGCGGGTCAACAAGTGTCGACGCAGAAACAGACAATGCATGCAGACAACACGCACCTTGCCTGCAGAGTACATGACTGTCTCGAAGTCGTAGATGTACTTGCCACAAACAAAACAAGTTTCCTCGTCTTTTCCACCCCCTGTCAGGGTTAACAAACGCAGCTGGTGTTCTGCCATGCAGGTGGCAAAGTCTGGTGCCTGTGCACTGTCAATCATGTTGTCGAGCTGCTTCCTTTGAGAAGCTTCAGTCGTGGCAGCCTCATCGCTGTCCACGATTGGCACGCTGCATACGGGGCACAACAGGGCTCGCTGAGTGGTCGATGCAGTCCACATTTCATGCTGAAAGCAGAGGTCGCAGATTTTGTGTGAGCAGTGCGTGCTCCTTCGTCGAGCGGTCTCGGAGGTGTTTGCCTTTCGACACTGTCCGTGATGAGGTGTTTGTCGAGGGGTGATGATTGCGTGTCGACAAGCAAGCAGCCAGGCAACGCGTGAGATTGGAAACTGGGGAAGGAAGAGGAATGCTGTTCTTGTGCTTTTTGTATGTGCGGTTGTGCAGCGAGTATGTGAATGTGTCTGCCTGTGTCTGTGTGGGTGAGGGTGTCGACTGGGGTCGTTGCCAATGCTGCGGCTGGAGGGATGAACAACGACAGATGAGGACACGAACAAAACAGCGACAGAGCACCAACAGCAGAACGACAGCAGAACGACAGCAGAACGACAGCAGAACGACAGCAGAACGACAGCAGAGAAGCCTGCTTCTGTCTGACTTTGTGACATCTGCTCGTCCTGGAGGTCGCCATCTTGCGTCGTTTGGTGGCGCGGCTGATGGGGAGGTGGCGGTGGTGGTCGTGCAGCGAAGGTGCTCTCGAGTGCTCTTATCCTCGTTTAAATATGTGCAAAAGGAAGTTGCGACCATGTGCTTTCTTTCCTGCTGTGTCGACAGGGGGTGTCATGCGAGGGTTCTGTGCAGAAATTTCTCAATGATCCGTTCTTTGCAAAGAAGGGGAGGAGTCTATGACATGACTGAGAAGATACGTGGTGATACAGTGATCATGTGTGGCACATGACAATGTTGCGTTGAGGAGTTGGAAGCACTTGGCGCACAACGACAAGATGGCCAGCCTTGCGGAATGACAAGGTGACATGACAGTTCGTCAGACAGACAAACGTTCAGACAGACAGACAGACAGAGAGAGAGACACACACACAAGAGCACATGGGTGCAAACAAAGACAGGTCCGATATGTGACACAAATGGAGTGAATAACAACAGGTGCGTACGAGCAACTGTCTTGGAACTGACTGAGAGTCAAAGCAAAAGCACAGAACAAGTAAAGAAAAGCACAACAAGGAACGAACGACAGAAAGAGACAACAAAAGAAAAACAAACACATCGAGTGAGCCAAGTGGCAGCTGGTGTTGTGCTGGTGTGACGTGAAGCAAAGGGGTGAACGTCCTCACTCGTCGGTGCCGCGCTGTGCATGTGTGTACCCGCCGCTCATGAACAGCTGTGTGTAATGCGTGCGGCAATAAAACTGGTCGTCCACAGTGCAGTCTGTGCGTATGTGTGCGCGTGTGAGCGAGTGTGAATGAGTGTGCGCGTGAGTGAGTGTATTGGAGGGAAGAGAGAGGAATAGCGAGACAAATAGGCGGGCGACACATCAAACTTGGCAAAGCAAGCAAGGGGAGAGGAACGGGCGCGTACCAACACAGCTCAAGCGCTTGCAAACCCCCCATCCCCCACCCACACACACACATACTGTTGATGTCACGTACATTCTGTTGGCTTGAGCACTGTCTTGCATTCCTTGCACCTAAAGCAGTTCTTGTGGAAAGCCTATAATTAGGTGGTGCGTAGCGTGATTTGGCGTTAACAGACGTGTGTAAAGTGTACGCAGACGAATACAACACACAAACACACACAGACACACAGACGCACAGACACACAGACACACAGCAAAACAAAGCAAACAGCTGCATGCATAAACAGCAGTGTGCACCACCTTGTCTGCGGCGCCGACAAACTCCATGGGGTAGACGGTCTTCTTGCAGATGTAGCACTTTTGTTGCGCGTGTTGCAAGGAGGATGTGCTGAAACCTTTGCTCTTGGCCTTGAGGCCTGGCGCCTTGAGGTCTCGCTTCTTGCGTCGCTTGATCTCGACACCTGCACACGCGCAATCACAGCAAGGTGGTCACATGTCGGTCACGCACCGCGGCGGATGAGACAAGCAGAGCTGTAGGAGCACGGGACGAGAAAGAGGAGAGGCAAGGAGGAAAAGAGGCAAAGAGGGAGATAAAGAACCACGAGCACACTGCCAGAACGCAAACAGGTACTTGTAACCACAAGCAACCACCAAACCCCACAGCATGCAATGCAGGTGTACCCCAACTCACCATCGTGCGTGTCCTTGAGCAGGGTGACGGTGACGTGATCGCTTGAGCCTTGATACAACACCTCCCCCTCGTATGTCACCACCTTGTACTTCTTGGCCGTCTTCAGCGTTCCTGTCAGCGCCTCGAAGATGTTGGCCGTCTCCACAAACAGGTGCCCAAACTTGACCGTGTACTTGCCGTCGCCGTTGGGAGAGCCGAGTCTGTGTCGACGAGAGGTCAAGGGATTGGGATGGGATGACGGGGCGGGGTGAGGACAGACACATTGACACCACACAGACACACACACAGACACACGCATACACAGACACACATACACATACACACATCTGGACACACATACACATCTGGACACACACACACGCACACACACACACACTCACTCACTCACCCCCTCCACCGCCCTCCCCCAAACACACACACACACACACAACAAGCGACGCGCCGTACCGTTGGATCTCTCCGATGAGCTTTCTGATTTCCTTATCGACCCACTTTGCGGCCTCAATGGCGCGCGGGTCAAGCTCCTCGTATTCATCGTCGTCGCCCGCAGGCTTCTTGCTGCTACTGCTTGTGCTGTCGTCCTGCTTCTTCAGCCCAGGGAACTCGTTGCGCAGCTTCATGGGCCGCAGTCCACCCGCAGGCGTGCTGCTGTTGCTGGTCGTGGCTGCTTGCTGGGGTGTGTTTGCCGTGCTTGTTGCCTTGGGTGTGCCTGTCGGCGTCACCAGCGCAGAGGAGGAGAGTGGCTTCAACTTGGCGCCAAACGGCGACGACACAGAAGCTGCAGGCGTTGCAGCCGTGTCCGTGGCACCGCCGCCTTGTTGTTGTTGTTGTTGTTGCTGCTGCTGCTGCTGTTGTTGTTGTTGTTGTGCACTGGCGTCTGTGTTGACGTTGTCCTTGGAGACCTTACGCAAGCGTGCGCCAAAGGGAGACACGTGGCTGACGCTTTCATCGGCAGCGGCCTGTTGCTTAGCTTGTTCCTTTGCCTCCTCTTCCCGCTTCTTCTTCTCCTGTTCCTCGCGCTGGCGTGCCGCTGCAAACGCCTTCTGCTTTGCGTCTGCGGCCGCCAATGCCTCCGCCTCCTTTCGTCGCTTCTCTTCTGCCTCCTTTGCCTGGCGCTCAAGCTCCTCCTGCTGTCGTGCGCGGTTATTATGGTGTTGGAAGTGATGGTGGGTGGTAGGGGTGGAGGATGGTACATGTCAGCCTCACGTTGACAAGAAGAGAAAGAAAGAGGCATGATGGCAGGAAGAGCAAGCAGATCTGCCAAGAGATAGGCGCGCACACAGACGGACGGAGTTCTTCACCACAGACACACAGACACACACACAGACACACACATGCACACACCCTGACTCACTTTGCGGCGAGCCTCTGCTTCTTCCTGTTCCTTGCGCTGTCTCTCCTTTTCTTCCTGTTCCTTGCGCTGTCTCTCCTTCTCTTCTTCCTGTTCTTTTCGTTTACGCTCTGCCTCTTCTTGTTCCTTGCGTTTCCTCTCTGCCTCTTCCGCCTCCCTTCGCTTTCGCTCCTCCTCCTCTTGCTGCTGCTGTTTACGCTTCCGCTCTTCCTCCTCCTCTGCCTCCTTCTTGCGCCGGCGGGCCTCGGCCTCTTCCTGTTCGCGCTTCATGCGCTGCAGTTCCTCCGCCGCCTCTTGCTGCTTCCGTTGCTCTTTTTCCTCCTCCTTTCGTCTCTTCTCCTCTTCTTTCTGCCTGGCCGCCTCGGCTTGCTCACGCTCGCGCTGCTTCCGCCTCTCTTCCTCCTCGCGGTGCCGCTGCTGCGCCTCCTCTTGCTGTCGGTCGTCTTCCTTTGCCGCCGCCGCCGCCTTGGCCTTGGCTGCCCGCTCTTCCTCGGTGCGCTTCGCCTCCATGCGCTTCAGGTGCTGCAGTTCCTCCTGCGCCTCGACGCGGTCGTTGTCGCGGCGGCGCGCCTCCTCTGCCTGCTGCTGACGCACCTCCTCGTCCTTGATGCGCTCCATCTCCTCTCGGGCGTCATCTGCGCCGGCGTTGTTGCGCTTGCTGGCGTGAGCAGCCGCCGCAGCGTCGTGTTGTGGTTGGTTGTTGTCCTTGTTCTTGGCACCGCCGTTCTTCCTGCTCTTCCTGGCCTCCTTCTTGGCCTCCTTTTTGCGCTGCTTCTCCTCGGCGAGCGCCTGCTTCTTGCTCTGCTTGAGCGCCTTCTTCTCCGCCCTGGACATGCGCCGCTGCCCCTGAATCGCGTGCCCGTTGGCCGCCGCGTCCGCCGGCATGGCTGCGCTCGTCGCGCCCTTGGACTTGCTGTTCCCCATCACTGCTTGCTTGGCTCCAAGGCGTGGTGTGGTCAATCGCAAGTGTGTGTGTGTGTGTGTGCACCACTTGGTGTGTTCACCACAAGGTGATGGATGCAGCTCGATGTGTGTCCGAACACGAGCAGCTCTGTGTCTGACTGAAGCAAGCGAGCGACTGGTGCTGCTCGTCGTATGCAAGGTGGGCGGTGGCGGGGTGTCAACAAACAACAAAGCAACCTGAAGGTTGGCTTTCAACAGCATGAATTGCGCGGCTGAATCTGGTGGATACGCGGACACTGTGCTATGTTTCGCACAAGGAGTGCTGCTGGGGTCAGTGCGCATTCGCCACACTGCCCGCCAAACCTCAAGCACAACAACAACAACGATGACCACAAGAGTGTACGCTGCTGCCTCTGTTGTGCGCTGTCTGGTGGCGCTGAGTGCCACTGGATCCATGGTGTGTGTGTGTGTGTGTGTGTGTGTGTGTGTGTATGCGGATATCGTAACGGTCTCACGCATGGATGATGGTGTGTATGTGTGTTGTTGCAACGACCAACTGTGTGTCTGTGTGTTCTGTGTGTTGTTGTTTGGATGCGAAAGATCTGTCAAAGGCTTGGATTCAGCCGCATTGAATGAAGAGGCGCTGAGCGTACTGTTTGAGGACTGCACGGTCAGTGAACATGCGTGTGTCCTTGCATGTGTGCGTGTGTGCGTGTGTGCGTGTGTGCGTGTGTGCGTGTGTGCGTGTGTGCGTGTGTGCGTGTGTGCGTGTGTGCGTGTGTGCGTGTGTGCGTGTGTGCGTGTGTGTGCATGTGTGTCCTTGCATGTGTGCGTGTGTGTGAGCGCGTGTGTTTGTGAGTGCGCGCGCTCACACGCGCGCTCACGCGCACTCACACGCGCACTTGTAACAATGTGTGCTGCTGCTGGTGTCGAGCTGACACATGCTTCTTGCGCATGTGCAACCCATAGATTAAGGATGTTGAGGTCGTGTCGTCCGGCGCAGCTTCGTATGCTATTGTCACCTTCAAGGACGACAGTGACGTGCAGCGAGCAAAGGACAACGTTGACGGACAGGTCCTCAACCGTGCCTCTGCATATGTGTGTGTGCGCATACACACGCCTTTGTGTGTTTGTATGCCGAGTGGAGTTGGTGGATGTGGGTGCTTTGAAACAACGCAACAAACACCGCGCAACTCCACATTCATTCTGCTGAGCTCACACTTTTTGTTCCTGCACCTCGCTTGCTTCACACAGTTTGTTGGCAAGAAGCAAGTCAGCGTGACACCCATTGCCGACTCAGGTGTGCGCGGGTGCTGAAAACTGTATCTGCTCGCGTCCTGTTACGCTACAACCCCTGCCGACATTCACTGAAACACACACGCACACACACACGCACACACACACACACACACACACACACACACACACACACACACACACACACACACACACAGATCATGCACCAGTCCCCCTGCTCACGTGTTGCCGCGACCACCGCCACTGCTTTGGTTTCTTCTGCTGCTGTTCTTTTTGTTAGCGCCAGCGTCAGAGCCCGCCCGTTCAGATGCGCGCGGGTTTGCGCGCGATGCTGCTGGGCCAGGCAGCCGAGGATCGCTGCTGTCCAGGTCGCCACAGCAGCCAGCATCGTCGCCACCGTCATCGCGATGGGGCCAAAGCGGCGGCCGCTGGCACGCAGGGCCGGGCAGGGCGGCAGCAGACCGGTTTGGTCGGTCCCCGCCATCTGCGCCATCACACATGACAGGCGGCAGGCGCCAATCCCCCTCACGCACAATGCAGGGCGGCCCACCGCCACCACCATCATCATCGTCATCGTTCCGCTCTGGCGGGGGCAGGTCTGCTGCACCTGACGCGTTGTCGCGTGGTGGTGGTGGTGCTCGCGGGCCGCAAAGCCCCGGATACAGAGGTGGCCCTCCCCCTCCTCCTTCTGCTTCTTCTTCTCACACACACCAGCAGCCGGCACGAACAGCACCAACATCAGCAGCACCAGCGTCGTCGTCATATCACGGCCGCCACCATCACGAGGCTGCGCGTGCGGGGTGCGGGCGTGCGCGGTGGTGGCGCTCTTTCCCAAAGCCGTCCTTCCAAGCAAAGGCAGCGTCTGGAGATACCCCAGCGGTATGTTTGATGTAATACGTGTGTCCTTGTATATGTGTGTGAATATGCGTGTGCGCGTGCGTGTGTGTGAATATGCGTGTGTGCGCGTGCGTGCGTGTGAATATGCGCGCGTGCGTGTGTGTGAATATGTGTGCGTGTGTGTGAATATGCGTGTGTGAGTTTGAACATTTGTGTGTATGCATTTGCTCCGCTGCTCGCCTGCAGCTCCTCGTGGATGTATGCGATGTAGCAGCCGCAAAGTGGGATCTCACGACTCGCTGCATCTCTGCACCCACGCTCCACACTGTTTGTCGACACATGATATGTACAGTTGCCGTATCAGCATCCGCAGTTTGTTCTGAAAGGCGCAACGGATGTGGACACAATCTCCTTTGTTCCGTCTGATGCCAGCGGCTTCCTTCCTTCAGAGGTGCTTGCCACGCATGGGCAGCATGTTGTTTGCTTAGGCTTGTGTGCGCTTGTGCATGCTTGTTATGGATGTTCGTGTGTGTGTGTGTGTGCTCTTGGGCATGGATCAGGGCTCACATCACTGATTTGTCTTGCATTCTTGCATGCATGCATTCATTTGTGTATGTGTTGTTTGCGTCCATGTTGATCAGAGTCAAGAGGACATCGCGTCTGGCAAGTTCGTCCTCTGCACACTGAGTAAGTTTGTGACGTCGCCGACAACTCAACTGTCGACGCGCACGCGCGCTTCCCTTGCTGTTCCACACCTTTCACGGCCACACACACACAAACACACACACACATACACACACACGCACGCACGCACACACACGCACACATACACACACACATCCACCACACTCGCTCACATGCACACCACACTCGCTCACTCACACTTACTCACACCCCGGTTTGCCGTTGCGTGCTTGCATGGTGCAGAGCGTGGGGCGGCTGCAAGTGCGCACGCTGTGTCGAAGGAGGAAGCGCTTGAGCTTCAGCAGCAGCTGCGGGCAACGATCACATCAGCACAGGACATGCACGCGGCCTGCTCTGCTCGCATCCTCTTTGGCATGTCGTACTTTGTTCTTCCCAAGGAATGCGCACACAAGGTAAATGAAACGCACTTGCTTGCTGCGTGCGTTTAGTGTGTGTGTGTGTGCGTGGCGGGTACATTCTTGTGCTTATTCCCGAATGCGCAGCCTTGTGTGCCCGTTTCACGCTGCTCAAGCTCACTGCGTTTCACTTCCGCTCAACCCTACACCTTGCACACGTGTGTTGTTGTGTCACCATTACGCTCCACACCATTACGCTCCACACCATTGCGCTCCTCACCATTGCGCTCCACACCATTGCGCTGCGCATCAGCCGATTCCGCCATCGGAAGTTCGCCAGATGCTCGCCGAGCAGTACATCCGACACATCCTCAACAGTGCGTTTTCAACACCGCCCACGCGCTCGTGTACTTGCCACGCCTCTCACTCAGCAAGCACACTCGCATTCTCGTCTCTGCCCCAGCCGTGCACTCAACAGCATCACATTCTCACGCACATTCCCATCCCGTTCACTCGCTTCAGCTCACGTCTTTCCACTCGCACGTTGCATGTCCTGCTGTGTACTCGCTCCTCCCCCTGCCCTATTCGTCGTTGGTGCGCGTGTGTGCTACCACCAGGCCACCTGCCCCAGCAGGAGTGGGACGAGCTGACGTATGCCATCTGCAACGCCAATGCGCAGTGGCAGTATGTTGGCGGTGCTGTTGCGGTGGAGGCGAGATATTCCGACGGCGCCACGGCCCTCTTCACCGTCGACAAGCACGGCGACCTCACCCCAGACACACACGCACTCGACATGGCGGTCGGTCCACCGTCGTGGCGGTGCTGCGTGCCGCGTGTGTGTTGTGTTGTGTTTGTTTGTTTGTTTGTTCGTTTTTTTTGTTTGTTTGTGTGTGTGTGTGTGTGTTTATTCGTGTGTGTGTGTGTGTGTGTGTGTGTGTGTGTGTGTGTGTGTGTGTGTGTGTGTGTACAGCAGGGCACGTTGTACCACCTTGCCGTTTCCATTGCTCCCCTCCAAACTCACAACGCTCTACCAAACTCATAAATCTACAGGCGTCACTGCGCACTCCCAAACCGTTTCTGACACGGACAGAAGCGGCTGACAAGCTGTCATCCATGACACTTGAGCCGTCAGAGTTGACAGCTCCGCAGACGCTGCAGCGCAACGAGCGCTACGACCTGATCAACGTGGCAGGTGGATGGTACATTCGCCTCTGCACGGCAAGAGTCTGGAAAGGTGCGTCGTCGGTGGCGTGCGTTGGTTACGTTGTGTGCACGTTGGTTGCGTGTGTGTGCGTGTGTGCATGCTGTTTGCGTGTGTGTGTTTGCTTGTGTTTACTGGTGCGCACACGAGTCTTGTCACACAACCACATCCCCACTTCCATGCTGAAGTGTTTTGAGGTGTACTGTTCTCACGCTCTGTGCCGCTTTTCAATTGTATTCAGACGATCGGAAGCGGTATCAGTGGGCGGATATGGTACACAGGCGACTGGGCGACAATGAGGTAACACCCGCAGACATTCTGCCACACATGCGCAAGTGCAAACATACACGTGCATACACGCACATACATGCGCACACAAGCACACGCGCACACGCGCCATCCCTCCCCTTTTCGGCCCTCACCACCACCACATCCATCATCGTCTCTTCCTCAGGCTGGCCCTGGTGCGGGCAAGCAGCCGCACTTTCCGGCTGCGAGCACGGTTGTGCTGCACGCGGGACTGCGCATTGACTACACATTGGAGCTGTCGGAGGTGCCGCCATCACCGGACGAAACGTCCACCCCGCCCGCAGCGGAGGAGGCGCTCAGATCAGCCATCAACGGCATTGTCACAGCGGACACCGTCATGGGGAAACTCGGCACTGGCCGTCGCTAGCTCGCACACACACACATGCTCACACACACACGCATACTCACACACACACACACACACACGCCCACACACACACACACACATGCTCACACTCAAACATGCACGAGTCATTCATCTTCGTCTTTTGCGCCTTTGCATTTTGTTGTGCTTGTGCTGTTCCACCATGGCTGGCTGGCTCACTGTCATCCCATCGTGTCATCCCATCGTGTCACGCCACACGTGTGCGCTTGCTGCGGCTGTTGGAATTACGAGTGCGTTTGTGCTGTTGCGTTGAGTCTGTTTCGTTCTTGCTCTTGTTCTGCTTCTGATCACTCGGTTATGAAAGTCTACATACATATACGTGGCTGTCGAAAGAACGAAGCGCGTTGCAACGAGCACAAGAACGATGAAACCATGCATGCTGGCACACCTACAGCAAGCCTGGTTGGTGCCTTGTTGAGCGCACGCGTGGGGTTGGGTTGAGAATTATGGCCAGGCACACACACACACACACACACACACACACACACACACACACACACACACACACACACACACACACACACACACACACACACAATCCCCCCTCTCAAATCTACTGGTCATCACGGGCGCCTGCTGCAATGTCCTCCAAGGAGACGCGGGCCGGCGCCGGACGGAAGGGGAGGCGGTGGTGGGCCATTAGTCCAGACACATACGCAACCACCTGCACACATGCACACATGCACACATTCACACATTCACAGGCACATGTGCATCATGGTGTGGTGGTTGTGAGGTGAAGATAAAAGGGCGAGGTGGAGGAGAGCCAACCCACACACGCACGCACACACACACACACACACACGCACGTGCGTGTGTGTGTACTTCTGTTCCTTCACGAAGGGCCATTCTGGATCACAATGAGACATGTTGGTTCCTTCACCTGCTTATGGCCGGCCTGAATTGCGAGGTCTGATGGCGTTTCGCCGCGGGGATTGACGTTGAAGAGTTGAACAAGCACCTGAACAACACGTAACATGGATGCATTTGGGCGCGTGCGTTTGACAAATGAATTCGTGTTCATTTTCAGCGAACATATAGTTCGGTACCACGTGGTTGACGTGACCATGCTCATAAATTCGTACAGATACATGCACACA